TCGTTTTAACAGCTTGGCTAGTCTCTTTGATATTGGAACACGTGAATGTTGGTTTTCAATCACCATAACCAGAACAAGCACGAAACCGTCAACACACTCAAAGCCTAATTCAAACGAGTCCTTCAACAGGAGAAAATAACGGCAATCCAACCAAGCAAGGAAAACGAATAAGCAATCCTCTTCACATGTAATATATTGATTAATACATCAAACGACTAAACGTTATGCAAACCAAATTGAAAGTTATAAAGGAATCACAATTTCAATTTCATCAATCGAATTTACAAAAATTGAAGACAAAACTAATAACCCAGATCGTATCAATTAACGGCAATATTGCAGGATAATCCATATATTCAATCGCAATTTTTTTTTTTTTTATCATAATTTGAATAGCTAACCGTCAGAATTTCAACTATAAAGTCAAGCAGAAATCAAAATTCACAAGGAAACAACAACAACAACAACAGATAAGATTCGGAATAAAAAAAAAGCTAGTGAAAAACAGCTATACCAGCTTCGAGGACAGTAGAATTGACGTAATCAGCATCACCGGGTTCAAAATTACCAGTAATACTATCACCATCATTCGGCGAGCTAAAACGACACCGAAATTTGGAAGAAGTTCGAATACGAGGACAATTACGAACCCTAACAGAAGCACCGCTAGAATTAGTGCTGCAATCACTCTTCAGAACCGCCGAAAGATGAGAGTTGATGAACATAGCATTAGTACAGAGTTGTTTGGCCATGAAAGTAGTGAAATATGCAGGATTTCTCTCTCCTCCTGAGATTCTGGAAACGATTGGTGGTTGAAGAGCCGCCATTTTTGCAGCGATTGAGGAAAGAGAGAGAGATTGAAGGATTAATCGGTGCGGTGGAGAGGATTTGAGAAGGATAGATGAGAAGAGGAGAGAGAAAATGAAAGAGAGAGGAGTGAAGAAGAAAGAGAGAGATAGAGAGAAGACTTATAGGAGAGGGAAATGGAAGACGGAAATGTTGAGAAAGAAGGTGATGAAGACGACACTTTCAAAAGAAGTAACCTGTATTTGTATTTGGGGGGAGAAAAACCGGGAGAAATTAACAGAAGAGATTGGAATGCCTTGGAAACAAAGATTTGCGATATGCATCAAATCAACACAAGCGTTTTTTTTTTCATTGGATTGGCTACGGGCTGTGGCAGCCTAGAAGGTACCGGTGACTCGGTGAGGCAGATCGATTTTTGATTTATGTAGCGTACATTAAGTCTAAATTCAGTTCAATTCAATTCATCCGATTAATTTTGAATCATGGAATAATTTTTTTTTTTACTCTGTATTTAATGAGCGATACATAAGTATGGTTTGAATGAAACTTATTTACCATTCTGCTTTGGAGTAAAACTTAATTACATATTTGCTGTCCACCTAGGTTTGGATTGAAATAATTTTACTTATTATATTTTTGAAGGGAAAAACCATACATATTTTTTTTTTAGGGGAAAAACCATACTTAATAAAACCACTATAGAAGCAAAACCATATAGTTTTACTGCTTCTTTGTAAATGCCATGGGTAAAGCGAAAGAACAATCTTGTCAACCACTCCCCCCACTGCTCTTAACCAGCCAGCCACCTCAACGCCGACACCGCTGAACCACCTTCGCATCGTAACCTTATTGCCGTGGTGTCTGTAAACCCAACATATGTGGCCATTTCACGCTTTTTGTGTGCTTTCTTCTTAATCTAATTTTAATTTCTGCTGATAATAATCAAGCTTGGCTGAAATTGAGAAAATTTCTCTAATTCTTCATGTAAGCACATGAACTAAACTTTGGAAATTATTGTTGTATTCCGTATTTTCTCCACCGCACCACTTATATTCACATTGGTATGGCAGCCCGCTTTTTCTAGTTCACCCATTTTAGAGATGGATGAGACATATCTAGATTCACCATCATCACTCATCGTAAGCAACAACATTTGGAGATAAATCTGCTGGAATCGCAAGATTTATTTGCCGAAAGTATACATGGAAAATCGCGTTATATCTTGAGTAGTGGTTCACTGCTTCTGCTCTTCTAATTTCATTTAAAAAACAAAATTGTATACATCCTAAGTGGGCAGTAATTTTGTTATTAAGTTTCATTTCGAAACACAATGGTGAATAAGTATTAATGTAACCTTAATTTTGTACATCACCCGTATTTGATAGGATTGAACTTTAATATTAACTAGTCTTAAACTCGTGCAATACATTGCTGTTTATTATATTGTAATTTTTTATTTTAAAAAAATAAACATCAATAAAATAATATGGGATCTCAACATTATATATAATGGGTTAATATATACATACATTTTTTTTAATATACAAACATTACTATCGAATCTTATAGTAATAGGCAATATTATAACAATAGTGTTAGGTTAGCATTTTTAATGTACAATACACTTAAAAGTCTGTCAAATTTAAACAATTTTTCATTTATAATAGTTACAATTTATAAATGTTGTTTGACAAATTTATTTCTTTAATTCATTGTTCTGCAATATTCATAAAATAGAAGAAACATACTTACCAAAAGAAAATTTGTAGCCCAATTTGAACTTCACTCACTATTAGTCATTTGGTCCACAATGACCTTTCTGCAAATCAAACATAGCAATTCTTTTAAATGTGGAAAACAAATTTTGATCATACATAAGCGAAACTTTAATTATAGTGAAATGGAAATAGAAAAGAATTTACAATTTTCAGTGTTGGGTTTATGATGAACAATTAACTTCCTTTGAGATAAAACACTAAATTTGTTTTAATAATTTTTTTTGATGAAAAAATATTTTCTTGAATAGGCATGATTAGGAGAATTATTTTCTTGAATAGGCATGATTACGAGATTGGGATGGAAGATATGTATGGTTTTTTTTTTTTTTTTTTTTGTAATTAAAAAAATTATTTTAAAACAGGAAAAATAGAAAGAGGACAAGTGTCCTTCTTCCAATTTCCTGTTTTAAAATAATAGTATTGATTTGTACACTATTATTTTTGGGAGAAAATATTCCCGATGAGATATTAGAAGCTTCATATTAATGGGTAATTTTCTTAAAATTAAATTTTTTAGATCGATTTAAACAAAAATAAAATAAATAAATATAAAGGTACAATATGAAATGATTTGGTCATGTATGAAATAAGCGGCGGCGTGGTGCTTAAATAAGTCGAACTAAACACATCCTAAGTGAGTAAGTGGCAACATTTTTTATTTTATTTTTTTTTTTTTTTTTTTTTTTGTTAATGCATCACTAGAGATTTTACACTATTTATGTATTACTTGATTTTCTACTAATATATTGTAAATAAATGTTACTCAATGTGTCGTTGGATTAGTCACAATGTTTAATTTATTTATTTATTTTTTTAAAAAAATAATTTTTATTATATCTAATTAAAGATATTGTTGGTCAAAGTTATATCTCAGCAAATGTGCAAACCTAAGTGATGCTTTTTTTTTTAAAAAAAAAAAAAAGAGAGATAGGTAATAGTACGGAGTAATTATTTATTACTCCCTCCATTTTGCATTAGTTGCAACACTTTTTATTTTCGGCCGAAAGTTATATCTCGACAAATGTGTAAACCTAAGTGATGCTTTTTTTTTAAAAAAATAAATAAATAAAAGAGGTAGGTAATAGTACGGAGTAATTATTTATTACTCCCTCGCGCTCCGTTTTGCATTAGTTGCAACACTTTTCATTTTCGGCTGTTTCATATTAGTTGCAACACTACTATATTTGGAAAGGACCCACCATTATTTTATAACTAGGTTAGTTCCCGTGCCATGCACGATGATTTTCAATAACCATTATTAAACTACGATTATAATTAGTTTTTTTTTATAAACATTCTAAATATATAGTTGACAAATTTTGATTATAATAAAGAATTACGAAAGATATGTTAGATACCAAATGATGTAGAATGATTAAAATTATGTTAAAAAAATTTTGATAGCTATATAAATATTTGAGTTAAACATATGTCAAATCTTTTTTTATTTTAAGTAATTATATTGTATAAGATTAGGAAATTATTTTTGTATAAGATTTATTTCTTTAATTGAATTTCATTCAAAAAAAAAATACTAAGGACACACCAGAAGATTACAGTGCACGTGTCATTACTGGTGTGTCTTTTAGTATATTGTTATTGATTTCTTTCTCCCACTAACCTCACTTTCACAAATATTTTACTATTTCTCTTTCCTACCAACCCCACCCACACAACTTTTTTTTTATTAATTCTATCTCTTACCAACAATACTTTGTATTATAAGCCTAGTTTATAATTTTCTTAAACTACGAGCCAAACCTACTGTTGTAACTAATGCGAAACGGAGGGAGTAAAAAAACTATCATCTAGCTATTTATCAATAATTTCATACTTTAAAAACTTGGTATATTATATGTTTGGTATAAGTGCTTGACATACCTAACTATTGAATTAGTAAAATCAAATTTAAATAATGGTAATTTTAAAGAAAATTTGGTAGCTTGTGACAAACACTAGGCTTTTATGAAACACTTTTCGTATACTAAAAACTAATTTTGAAAAAGTCATAATCAATACATTTAGGGACCACAAGTTCAAGCAAGTTAATATAACTTCAAATTGATTATTTGGGATGAATAAAACAATCCCTCAAAAGAACATGCATGCCATATAGTGGTGTAACACTCTATTATTTCTACTTCTAACTTTATACTTTTAATTAAACACCACTTCGTATTACAAATTACAAAATAATAAGTATGGAGTACATGAAAATGTTCTCACCTACCAAAACATCATTATTAATATAGGAAAAATCACAATTTTACAAGAAATTATTGCTTTTAGCTACTAGCTAGCCAGTTAGGTCAAACAATATAATACCTCATACGAGTACTTCATTTAGTTATTTTTTCTTGATAACTTTCATAGTTTATTTTATCCGGTAAATTGAACCTAATTGGCTCAAAAAAGAAAAGAAAAAACAACATTGTTTTTATTATGTTTTGGTAGTATAATAAAAGTATACTTGATCTATGCTCTCCTTACATTAATTCCATGAGTGGAAACATGCCTAACGATACAAAAAGAAATGAAAACTAAAAAAAAGAAGGATGATTGGACGCATCCACTTGGGTTGGCGTGAGATATGATGTCCACGAGTATGGCACAAGACATAATCCTCTCCTTCGAAGTTCTATTCTTTCTTCCTCTTTTCCCTCTTCTTCACTTCCTAGCCCCTATAATCAAGCAAATAAACACAATTCAAGCAACAAATTAGAATTTTTTTTTGTTATCCAAAAAAAATTGTTTTTAATTGTAGAACTTCTGAGTCATGATTTGCTTCACTAGTATACATTGGTAATAACATTTTTTTTTCTTTTTCTATTTTGAAGGAATAAATCAATATATGAGTAATTCCTAGTTTTACTAATAGTATGGAAATAGAGTGTTGCTTTTAAATCCTATTTGTAGTACATGAAACTTATAAAGACTCTAAAAAGAAACTCCATAATAAAAGTAACTTAACAACTTACTTTTTGAAAAAAGTCCTCAATTTATAGTTTAGGTTATAATAATTGAATTATCAAATGATGAAATTTTTCTTCTTACAACTGAGGTAGATAGGACCCGATCTCATATTTTAATTAATTCACTCAAATATATATTTTTTTTACTAATTAATTAGAATAGTTTGTAAATTAAAGAGTACAAAGTATACGTTTTAAAGAACCACACCATGGAGCTTAATTCGATCGCCTTATAAGTCAATAATTTGTCACACTTAATTAGGTTAAATTTAATGGTTAATTAGTAAAGTATTTACCATTTGGAAGGGTCTAGTAGGCTTGCTACGAGAAGGCTTAGCATGAGGCATGCAAAGTGTCTGCGAAGAACAAATAGATAAATATCAGAATCAATTCAAAATGAAGGAAAACAAATACATTATACGTACATTTGGCATAACATAAAGGAGTATATAATAATAATAATAATAATAATAATAATAATAATAATAATAATAACAATAATAATAATAATAATAATAACAACTTACATGAATTTGATCTTGAAGAAATTGGATGTATCCAATTGCCTCTGTCAAAACAGAAGCTGTATCCGTCTAAAAAGCAAGAATGTAAAATATAATTAATTAATATAATTCGGTACGTACAAAAGTATGTATGTATGGGCAACTCATTAGTTTAATACATGCTTAAATTGATCATCTCTCTAATTATTCTCTCTTTAATTAATTAATAATCACAATTAACTAAGATAATAGTGGTACGTGGCTTGATTTGTAGGAAGAGAAAAAGCATAAGTGGGAACTTGAACATACCTTGCCGAAAGGTGAAACTAATTGGTGTAGTGCTGCTATCCTCTCTCCTAGTTTCTCCTTTCTAACCTAACATACATAATTACCAAATTATTGGAGTGTTAGATCAAAGGACAAACTTAATTATAGTATAATTAGATAGAGGTTTAATAATTGGCGCACTGTTTATTTTTTGGATTTGATTATAACAGTAAAAGAATTTCAAAATAATACTGTGAATGAATCTGTGATAATAACTAATGGTGCATCTTTACTAATTGTGTCACATAATATGATACTTCTAATTATCACCTATGTTTTCAATTCATTGAAATTAAGAAAAAGTACACTAAACTTGATTATATATATATATATATATATATATATATATATATATATATATATATATATATATATATATATATATATATATAATCGCTCCACTTTCTCATAATTAAAAGATGTGACACAATTTTACTAAAAGAGTTATATTGTTTTATATAGGTGTATCGTCATTCCCACAATATGTCCACTAATCTTAAATATGTCTTAAACCCCCTTCATTTATTATAGTCACCAATCACTTAAGAATCATTTGATAAGTAATAGTATAATCACTTTACTAATTTACTATAAAATAGAAACTGACGCACTTATATAAAAAACGGAGAAAGTATCAATATATATGTCTTAAATATGTCTTAGCTTCTTTGTTTTTGGATAATCCAGTCACTGTCCATTATTAATTACATTTACAACTTACAAGAATGATGCAATAAACACCCTCAATTACTTGAGAATCCTTTGATTAGTACTAATAATATGATCATTTTACTATATTTTCTTTAAATATAAACCCCTTCATTTATTATAGTCTCCAATCACTTAAGAATCATTTGATTAGTAATAGTATAACCACTTTACTAATTTACTATAAAACTGAAACTTACTCACTTATATAGAAAACGGAGGAAGTATCAATATATATGTCACGAAACATGTACGATGTAATTATATTACCTTAAATGGAGGGCAAGAAACCTTGGCTTGAGATTTCTTAGTAGCAACTGGATTGTTGGATGCTGATGCCTTTGACTGATCACAACTTGAACTCCCGGCGGCTCTTTTTGTTCCCGTTAGTGATCCATTCATCAAACTTGATGTCTTCATTCAAAAAGGTATAAAATTATAAATAAATATTAAATTAAAGAATCATGAAAGAAATAAATTTTAAAAAAGTTAATAAGATATGAAAGGGGAAAGACTTTAATTTGTAAATTTAATCGTCCTTTTTTTTTTTTTTTTTTTTTTTTTTTTTTAGCATGCACTGTATAAAGCTGGAACAATAAAAACCCAAATTTAAACTTCACGAGCATGCATGCATGCATGCAATCGAAGAACAGCTTTCTTTTGTGGACTGCTAAAATGAAATGTTTGACTCTTTTGTGTTCATGCTTGCTCTGAAAGTGATAATATTTGGCAATTAAAGTCTATCTACAATATAATAATTAAAGACATGGAGTTCGATCTTGATCTTTGATTTCAGCTCATCCATATTTTTGCTAATCTGTAAGTAGCCATTCCATCATAAATTTTCGGGTTTCACCGTGCTCAACTTTGACTGCTCATCTAGATCAAATTGATGACTACTTAAATTGGGATGTGTTCAATTCTCTTCAACCGAATGAAATTAATCACTGTATATAATTTTAATTAAGTTATTGAAACAAATCTAAATTTATCTAATAAGTCATAAGTGCCAAAATATTCATATAATTAGTTTCAACAAGTTCAAGATCAATAATAAATGCTATTCAAGCTCTATTCAGAATAATAAGAAGTTCATATTAGCTTAGTGAAATTCAAATGAAAAGAACACGCCTTTATAGAATAATTGTACATATGAAAGAACATGCTATGAAGGACATAGTATAACCTTGAATGATGATTATAAAGACAACCATGCAATTAGTAGCACATAGCTAAAAAAAATATTATTTAGGGATATATATTAAAGTTTTTCAATGAAAAAATTAAATATATTGTGCACAAACAAACTACCACAAAAAATTTGAAAATTTCTACTACGAATTATATAGGGTAGTAAAAGGATAATATTCGTGGGGCCACGGCCCCTTCTAGCCATGGATCCTTTGGTTCCACCTCTAATTTCAGGCAGGCCTAAACTATAGAACTATAGAGAAGGAAGAAGCTATTCACATGCCATTTTATACAGTATAAGCAATCATAGTCTACAAACATGCCCCCCATGCACATTTACAACAATCTACGTACATACTACTACAGTCCTATTTAATTATAGATTAGGTCTCTCAAATTTTAATTATACTCAATATTTTAGAGAGCAATTTATGCCAATAATCAACATGATCTATACTTCGTATTTATTTTGTGTGCATCCATAGCCAAAAACAAACCCAGAATACCGCCGATAGAAAAATTTGCATAAACAGTTTACCTTGTTAGACATGATCTTTCCAACGGGGCTAATAACTTCTTCTCCCACAACATCATATGACATAGGGCGGTTTTGAGAGCCGAAACTTGAATTACTTCCAAGGAAATCCATAGCTTGCAAATTAAGGCCTAGTCGAGGACTACTACTTGATACTGTGGATGCTGTTGAGTTATTTGGCGAAGACACTAATCCAAGCTGATTTAGGAAACTTGTACTAGGATAACCTTGATTATTATTACTCCAGTTGTTAACCTCCAAGGGGAGCTGCATTAATCCCCTACTGTAGGGCATACCAGAAGCAGAAGAGATCAAGCCGGTGAATGACCATGGATTTATATTATCCAAAGTAGTCGCGGTTGTAGGATTATGGATTAGGCCACCATAGGTAGGGAATGAGCTTAGCATGTCGTCTTCAATTTTAGGCATGGACGAGATTGATGTTGTGCTACTGAGGAACTCGTTTTCGTATGGCTTGTCGTTGAACGTAGTGTTAGTTGATGTTGTACTCCTGCAGCTTAGAATAATTAGACAAGTTAGTAATCCAATTAACCAATCAAATAAAATCTAAAGGTAAAAAGGTACTACTTCAGAGGAAAAGTAGATTGGCGCTCATACAATAACTAGCTTCAATTCGTAGCTAAGAATATAACTATTGAGCTTAAAATGAAAATGTTACATTATTGTATTATAATTAAATTCATAGATGAGAAAAATAAGCTTAATTTGTACATGTATTTTACAGCAAAGAAATTCCATAATTTTTTCTTTCTATATACGAAGTATGTTCTTCTAATTTCTTTTTGTAAGAACTATATGTGTTCTAGCTTTTAAGCACCTTTTCTTTGCAACTGGAGCAATATTCTAATAGTAAGGAATAAAAGGAACAAAACTAAAATAATACTATTTACATTCACACGCATCAAAAAAGGGTATGTAGAACAAATAAAGATTGACTAGATAAACATGTAATAGATCATGTATATTAAACCAAATGATTTTAAAACCAAGTAGACCGACATGCAATTCAACTTAAGCTAAACCTGTAATCTACTAAGCTCTAAGTGCCCTTAATAATCTCTCCTCTGATGCTAGTTTAATAACATGCAATATATACATAAGAGTGAAACAAGAAATTTGCCCGGATTTTGGAGAGAAAAAAAAAAAAAAAAGACCTAATTATAAATCAAGAATATGTATATGAAGAACTAACATTTATAATCAAAGGAACATGTATTTATGTTCAACTATTATATAAAACTCATGATAGCTAGAAAATATCGAGATTTCATATTCTTATGGAATTCCGCTGAAAGCAGCTAAGTTAAGAAAAAGGTGGTATATAAGCTTGATTAGTGTTAAACAAGCTAATTAATAAGTAATATGGTGAAGAAACTTACGTTGGTAAGATGTTCGCGTTCCAGGGGTGAAGAGGTAATTAATAAGTAATATGATGAAGAAACTTACGTTGGTAAGATGTTCGCGTTCCAGGGGTGAAGAGAGGAAGAAACTCCATAGCCAGAAGAAGGAATGTTTAAAGGAGAGCAATTAACAAAGTGGTCTTGAAGATGTTGTTGCTGCTCTTGTTGTTGTTGTTGTTCGTGGTGCTGAAAATTGGTGGAGTCCATAATGAAGTAATAATAATGGGGTTATAAAAATTTAATTGGATCCTTTTAATTTTTTTTGAGATCCCAAGATGGTGTAATTATACTTTGTTAAAATTATATGGCTAGCTTCTTTTTAAACTTTCTCTCTATTCAAGGAAACAACTCAGAAAACATACCCATAAAACCTCTTGCTTTTTAAGCTAGTGTACCACCTTTTTTTTTTTTTTTTTCTTCTAGGTTTTGTTCTTTACTCTTTCATGGGTCATCTCCCTCTAAAGTAGTCTTATTAAAAGATACTACTATTTACAACCTTGGCCTCTTCTTTTCTTTATGTATGTTTATCAATTTAAAGCTTTATTTTCTAGCATTTAAACTTTGTTCATTATCATATATAGCTAGCTCCTCTCACTTTTCCCTATGTAAGATCTTTTTGTTCATCAAATAATTGTTGGCTCCTGAATGATTATTCCTTCTGTTCGAAATTAGTAGTCACATACTCATGCCAATGCTATGTTACGGTTGTTTGTTTCAACTAATTTTATCTTTGTTATATTAAATAAAATAAGTTCAGATGAGTTAAGACAAATTTAAAAACTATAATTAAGTTAAGATAATGTAAGTTCAGATAAATTGGGATAGGTTTAGACAAAATAGATCAAGATAAATTATGATAAACTTTGTATATGTTATATAGTTGTGTCTCTCCTACTCTCTTCTTACTCTTGTTAAGTGAGATATCATGATAAATTGTTCACTTAATTATAAATTCATACTATTTTAGAAATCGTGAAAATTGTTATGGACAAAATAATAGTAATAAGTAGGACTATAAAGTTGGAATGAGAGCATCTATATGTATGCATGATTCATGATCCGTTCAAATTGTGTTTTATAGAAAAAAGAAAAATCAAACCATAGAATAGTATGGATGTCCCGCTAACACTTATCTAATGGTCTCAACCTTGTCATAACATCCAATAATGTGGATTCTAATTTCTTAAGGCATAGCAACTACTTTTATAGTGGAATTATTTCAGTGATTATGCTATATAGTATAGACCCTACAATCTGATCTGAGACTAGTTCAAAATCAACGATTATATAAAACTATACAGAAAAATTGTAAAATATCAATGACGTGAGTTCTATTCAGGTTGATGTTTGGGAAGAAGTCTTAATAAATGTAACCTACCTAATTAATAAATCACCATTTGCAACATTTGCTTGCTTATTGCGTATCTTAAATTAAACGTACGTCATAGCTATAACCTTTTGAGAACAAAGGTGCTATTAGGTTTTTACAAATTATTTCATGTATCTAATAGCATATGAGCACAATGCTCAAACTATTATGTCCGATCCACTTATTTATGGGGGCTGGTATCCACTCGATCCCGTGTTTGTTAATAATAATAATAAGGGATCTGATCAGAGCTCGCTCAATGACATTACCCTAGTACTACATGCATTAGTTTATCAAATAATTAATGAAAAGAAGTAGCTGGAAGTTAGCTTCCTATTCACTAACAATGATCTGGTTTCACTTTCAAAGCACAGAACGCAAAAAAAGGATCAAAGCATCACTATCAACAGGAAAAAAAAAAAACAGGTTTGCTAGAAATTTGTACAGTAATTCGTTGAAATCAAATCAATCATAATACGGAACTTATTGTACGTGACTTTACCTCATAATCTGGTTTGATGTCGCCCTTAAAAGGACTTAGTTATAAGCTACTTAAGCTGGCTCACTGTATAATACAGTAATATATATTGTCACGTTATTTGTATAAAGTATCTATGCCTTGATTGAACATGCATGCAAATGGTTGTTTTCTGCACCAAAAACCCTACGGATATTAATTATCAACATATTCACCATTCCACATTCGATAATTGATTGTACTAGCATTATCTAAAGTACTTCTCCGTCCACAAATATAATACCCGTGTGTTACTTCGTAGCTAATCATGTGTACTTTTTTGAGAAAAATGTCAAATTTTCTAGAATAACAAATTAACAATATACAGTTGAGGATAATAATATCCAAACAACCCTACTAAAATGGACTCATACACTAGCCTATTATGACGGGAATTTCAGTGAACTTATAGTGATTATTTGATTAATTATGAAGAGTTGGGACAATTCATATATACTACAGTACAACATATCAATATACGAAGTAGTATAAAAAAGATAAACTTTTCTAGAGGTTAGGAAATCGGAGAATCAAAGACATTCGATGATGGAATAAAATCTTGTTAAGAGTAAGATATAATAGGATGGGAGAGACAGAAGCAACAGAAACAACACATTCTTCCACAATGCCCATAAATATTGACAGACAAAATGAATAAAAAAAACTTGAAAAGGAAATGAAAAGTTTGATGATGAAGAATAATAGAGTATATATAGAAGTATGAGCATTTTAATTTGCACTTCTTCTCCATACATGCATGGTCTGATCTCTCTGGAACATGTATACATGCTGACAAATTTACAATCAAACCTTTTTCATAAAAAAATATTTTTGGTGCAGACATGCTTATATATTCAATGTTCATAAATGTATCAGAAAACAATGTATCAATCTGCTGCGACTGTATCGTATATACGATTGGTTTATAAAAAGATACATTCTAAATAATAAGTCTAAAAGAATGAAGGGAGTAGTAGTATTACGTAATTCGTATTATTAAATTGGGCCAATTTGGCAAAGATGCTTGAAACAATTCTTCTAATTCGCGATTAAAGTTAAGGGAAGGCCAGGGTGATTAAGTGATTTTAGTTTCCCTTAATCAAAATCAAAATATATTGAGTTTCAATCACAAATATTTTGGCAATATATAGAAAGGAGCCTTGCACATTATTACAAAAATCACCACAATTTTTGTTGTAAATTTTGATGATGTACTTAACTCTCTATTAAGAATATGAGAATATGATTACATGAATGGTATGTGCTCGAGAAGTTAAAAGACCAATAATTAAGTACTCCTATTACATTATACGAAGTACAATATACTCAAAATTAGATATTAATTCATCATTTTGTTTAAAGTACCTTATTATGTCACTGTCTGCCCCGCCTCCTATAATATCTTACTTCCTTTATGTATGTGCAACCTTTCTATGTTCTGGCTATTCCATCTACCAAACAGTTAGTTGATCCATTTTTCAACTTATCATTTTGCAAATTAATATTTAAATACAAAGTACATTTGCTAATTATTTATTTGCTTAAGTGCGATGATAATCAGCAAAAAGTACTGGAGTTGAAAACAACAGCTTAATTATTTTAGCACATCTCTTAATAATAAAATGTGGCTGCCCTTAATTGTATACAATTTTTACTACAAAAGTAGATCGAATATTTTTTTACAATAATTATTTTATTCTGTGCATTTATCTTATTATATTAGTATCAGAAAAATTATCAGCTAATAATATGAAGTCAAATCAAACTTTATTTTATTTTTTCAATATTTTTGCTTTAAATCAAACTTTTTAAAACTTTGATGATTAGGACCCAGCTCCCTAGCTCTTATATTATCTGGACAATGGACACAATTTTATTGGTCAAGCTACTTTTGTATGTTATACTTCTATATTTATTATCAATTTATGTATATAGTGTTTTATCTAATAAAGTGACGGCTTGCAGAATGAACTTTTAAGTCAATTAATTAGGACTTAGGAGTAATATTTGAAATCACCCTTGATTAAATATATTGTGTAACAATATCTATGAATATTATCCGCTTATAATCGAAACATTGGGATTCCCAGATTCCCTTTGCATTGCTACATTTCATTTAATTATAAATAGAGACTATAATTCCCAGCTAGGTCTACCACACACATCGAAGATAAGATATATAATAGTTGCACCATACAAGCCCCGTAATAATTAAAGTTAATATAAGTTGGCTCACTTGATAAAATTCTTACTATAATAACGTTGTAGCGAGTTTAAACAGGAGGTTGATAATTAGAGATGGAATATATGATAATGTGGTCAAGGGGAGCCTGGAAAGGATGGGGATAAAGTTGGTATGAGGCGGATTAAAGTAGGGTGATTCAGAAGAAGACAAGGCATTGTAAGCAGAGAATCTACATCTTTTTCCCTATTCAAAATTTTAATTTTATTAGGGTATGCATCCAGCTTTCAGGGACCATGGTCCTACTACTTTTTCTCATTTCCAAAACTCTACATTATAATTTTATGATTAAGGTGTTTTCATTATCTATTTGCGATCCTACCGAAAGATGAGTTGTTAATTAATATAGTAGTTTATCTATGATTGTGATTTGTTTCAATTTAACTTTGATTTAGGTTTAAGTTTTGTGAAATTACTCATTATATTCGATGTTGTTGAGTTTCCATTACGCACAATCATATATATCCTACAAGCTACAATCCACTTTCATCTAAAACAATCTAGGTCATTGCCAAAGTCTGGAATCTAATTTGATCAAACCTCCTCACCGATTCAAAGTGGGATATTGTTTTTGCAATTGATTTTGAAGTGAAAACTCACTTAACATTTTAGTATTAATTAATAGTTATTGTTTTTAGAAGAAATAAATAAAACTTGTAACAAACATCGATCCTTTAGTTTAATTACTTAAGGGCTCATTTAAAATTAATATACTCTCTTCATCTACAAAATTTTTATCCACTTTATGTTTAATGTGATTCATTCATGTATATGAATACCTTCATTCTTTCTTTCAAAAAAATGAGTACCTACATTTTATTCATGTATTTTTTTCTAATTTTTTTTGGGGCGCAAAGGCTTCTTCTCCCTTTTACTTTGATATTTATAGTCCTTATTATTAATGGTTAACTTACAATTTTTTTTGCATTATTCATATACTTATTTTGGTTATCTTAATCTAATTAATATTTACATACTATTAAAGACATTAAACTTGGTATCAGTATGTGTTTCTATGTTAATTATGTGAATAATTTGTGAAAGAAAGAGAGTTTAGAGTATTGTACATTACACATTAATTATTTTGTGTGCTATTATAATTTTTTTGGTGTTTAGAGAGTCAGTATATGCTTTATAATTTGATTATCCTCGTATATGTAACTTTTTCGAATGAGATATTCAAGTTGAATAAAAGGTCAATAATGTTTGACTAATTAATTAATTAAGCAAGCAAGCTAAGAGCTTCTAAAATGAGCATCTACATTTTAGCAGCCGACCAACAAAGCAAATTTTAATACTTGTATATGACAGAACTTTTATATTTTTATTTATGTAGAAACACCACTTGGTTTTATTATTATTATTTGGTGCATGCGAAAGGAAACTTTCAGTGCACTATCAATGGCCAAAATTCGATCTGCATCAATGTTTTAATTACAAAGTAAAACATTATAATTGGTCATACTGTATTTAAATATCCACCTCTTCATCATATATTATCCATAATGTTACCCTTAATTGCATTTCTCTACCGATTGCCTCGTTTGAATATATAATAGTTTGTTGCAAATTAATTACTCGAATCATTTTAATACAAGTATATGTATATTTTAGTTTCTTTATTTATTATATATATAATTAAAATACTAATTGTCAAAGTTTTATCAACCATTGTATGTTGGTAAATATATCCAATGTGATTCTAGTATCTCGGTCTCTCGGACGGACAAGAATTGTAAGAAAAATAGAAAATGAGGGAAGAAATAGTATTACATTCCTCTTAAAATAATGCTTTGTACTGTAAGTAAGTTTTATTGGTTTGAATGATGGAGTATCAAATTTTTTTTTTTTGAAACTATGGAATATCAATATTAATGCATTGCGAAGGTATTACTTCTAACATACTGTATTTTCTATAATTTGCTTAACAGTAATAAGTGAAGCTTTAGAGTTTAGATTTGATACTGCATACCATAGTACAAAACAAATTCATGCATATTATATGACTTAAAATATACTTTGTACAACATAACTTATTTTATTATTCACAATATTTATACACCAAAGTGGCTGTAGTTTAGTGGTTAGAATTCCACGTTGTGGCCGTGGAGACCTGGGCTCGAATCCCAGCAGCCACACTTTTTTTGTTCTGCCTGCTTTTTTAACGTAAAGTCTGTTTTTCAACAATCCTGCCCAATGCTTGGGCCAGGATATGAGAGCCCACTGGATCAGATAAAGCCCATTGGACCCAATGACCTAGAGCTTTAGAGATTATCACTTTGAAAATGTTGACATGCTGAGACAATTCCAAAACTCAAATGTAACCCAATTAGTCAGTTGCAATAAATTTAGGATTGGACCTGCCTCTTATCTTCCTAGTTATATGACCCAATTGCAACCCAGGAAGCTATAATACCTTTGTTTTCTTTTGTTTCCTTTAGGAAAATTGGCTTAAAATAATTCCAACTATCAATGGTATGTGTAAAATAATACAAACTCGACTATTTGCTATTAGCGGTAAACCTGGGCATCTCGTGCCGGGCCATGCCGCCACAGGACACGAGCTCCGGCGTGCCGTGCCGGTCGTGCCGCCGTGCCCAAGACAGCATGTCGTGCCGTGCCGGCCATTTTCACAGGCCAGCCCACGGCCTGACACGACCCTCGTGCCTGGCGGGCTCGTATCGTGCCGGCCACGTGCCGGCTTGCGTGCAGGCCTGGCGGGCTAGCTGCGGGCTGGCAGTTTTCCTATTTTTTTTTAAAAAATGTTTACACTATATAAATATATATATTACGGGCTTGGGCATGCCTGGACGGGCCGGCACAGGGGGCCAAGGGGCGGGCTCGTGCCGTGCCGAAATGTCCACCACTCGGGTCGTGCTGTGCCCCGTCGAAGGGCGGGCCGTGCAGGGCGGCACGCGGGCCAACCCGGCCCGTGCCCAAGTTTAATTAGCGGTACCACCTTTTATATTATATGTGCAAAATAGTACGCTGATCACTGAAAAAGTATTTCGAGGAATATTCTGTCTTTATTTGTTATTACTTTATTTTATTTTTATTAATTTTCTATTTCTTTTCAAAATACATATTATGTTAACAATTTTTCTTTACAATCCAAATTAATAACTCCCCACCCACCCCCCCCCCTTTTTTTTTTTTAATTTTCAATATGTATTTAAATATTTTTTAATTAAATAAAATACATGTAGTAATTTCTACTATTACGCAATAATAAATAGGGTATTTAAATCCATTATTATATATGTTGATCTAATTAGTTTCAAAAATCCAAAGTTTCCCTACATTCACCAACCAAAATAAAGAGGGGAATTTTTCAATTTTTTAAACAATTTTAATAACTAATTATATCAAAATAATAATACATTTAAATACAATATTTACTATTGTGTGGTATTAGAAATTACTATAGGTATTTTGAAAAAAAAAATATTTAAATACATATTAATTTAGATTGTAAAAACATAATATGTAGTTTGAAAAGAAAACATAAAATTAATATTTCCTCGGAATACATTTTTGGTGACCAGCGTACTATTTTGCACATATAGTATAAAAGGTGGTACCGCTAATAGCAAATAGTTGAGTTCGTATTATTTTACACACACCGTTAATAGTTGGTATTCTTTTAAGCCAATTTTCATTTACTTTATCGGGATCCAACTGTTATTTTGATTGGTTATAAACTTATAATTGTTGAAACCATAGTGAATATGGAAATAAACATGCATGTTTAGGAGAAATGATGGGTTGGTGGACAACTCACGTAGTGACTTTGAGATCAGAAGTTTGAGCCCCGCCATTCTTCAACTCCATATATCATTACATCCCACTATATTAATGGCAACAAATCTATACTTAGTATTTAAAACACAAACCATCATCCCCATCATGGCACATGTAAACTTTATTTTTCACCGATGCCACATGTCACCTCATTTAACCTTTCTTTTTTTAATCCCTCTTTTCATATTAAAAAATAAAAAATAAAAAATAAAACACACACACACACTAGCTTTAATTCCATACATTTATGCATGTTGTTTGGTTCACTTTCTCCTACCTTATCTTCTACAATTACATTTAATTTTCACCCTTTCTTCTCCCTTATAAACTATTTATTTTTCAATAAAAATATTTTATAAAATAAATAAAAATTTATATCATATACCTATAAACAACTCGTACATTGCACGGACAGAAGGCTAGTTAAACATCAAATTTTATAACTATTTCCCTTGCTATGATTGATATTGAATTATATTCTCACTTTATTTAACCGAAATGAGGATAAATTAATTTGGTATACATTAAATGTTGAACCTAAATTATCTTTGCTTGTCAATAAAAAATATTATACAAGTTTTAGGCGATTTGTGCAATATAATTTATAAATACAAAAGCCTCTCCGGAGCACTAATTATAAATAAATACTCAAACTTAAAAAATAAAAAACAAAAGATGGGCAATTTCAAAGTACCTATGTTAGCATCTCTATTAACCACCAAATATGATAGGAAATCTCCAAGCCTTAAAAAAACAGAAAGAGTATGATAAGAAATCATTGGCGTTGAATCGTTGATGTCGTGTGACAGCTTACATTTGGAATGATCCACCGCCACCATTTTAATTAGAAACATTTAATCTACTCCTTATTATAATTTTGTTAATTTAGTTTTGAAGACTCCTTCTGTGAAGAGTGCTCCAACTTCATACTCCGAAACTTCGTAAAATAGAACACCCACGTTGTCCTAATCTCAAATTCTCAAAAACTTTAGCATGATTAATGTATAGAATATAGAATCTGAATTTATAATTAATAAGGTTTTGATCTAGTGGTTAAAAACGAACATTTGTGTACAATATAAATTGTATGTTGAAATTTTCCCACCTCGCATTGAGCTGATGAGCTCTATTTATAATTTGCTTTGCGAGATAAATTGTGATTTAAACATTTTGTAATGACAAAAAACTTGTAGTGAGTATATATTAGTAAGAATTTTTAATATTTTTTTCTCTAAATGATCTAATGACATCAACTAACCTTTACAAGTTGCAATTAAATATATACATAACTATACAAATAATACATGGTCTAAACTCAAAAGTTATACACTTAGGTGAACAAAACAATCTCAACCATTGATTTTGGATTAAAAAAATTAATGAAATAGTACTCAATTAGGTTGGACTACTATAAATTGCCTATTGGAGTACTTTAAAAAGTATCTTTAGAATTAATTAGTAGTAAACAATAAGCAATCACTTGTTATAAAATACAAACTTCACCCATCACCAAAACCTCTTTAATTTCTCCTCCACATTTTCCTTCTCTCTTTTTGGTTTATTAAGTTTTGTTTTTTCTCATTACTGTTTTTGTCAAGTTTTTCTTTCTTCATTCTTCTTCATAGATTGCTTCATTTTATAAGCTTCCTCAACCCAAAAATAATCCAACCAAATTCTCTTTCGATCTTGATTATACATCTTGATTCCATATTTACATACACGTACCAAACACAAACATGAAATAAAATTAGATGATTAAGATTGAAACCTACCATTTGTATTCTTCATGTCTCCTATAATCAGTGAACTCCTCCTCTGTGGGTTCACCATCAATTCCGCCCTTCGCCGCCGTACCCACCTTGTCTCCTCCTTCTCTGTTGTCTTCCTCTACTGGTTCTACGTTTTCTCATGAACTAACCTTCTTCAACAAATATAAATATATATACATACACTAGATCATTTATTTTATTTGTAACGACATATATAGTATATTAAATATATTGTTAACATAGATGGCTAGTTCAAGTTCATCTGCAAGTCAACAACAGCAAGTTACTCATAACAACAATTCATCATCTGGATCCGAGGCAGACCCTCAACAAGTCATGGATACAAGGAAGAGGAAGCGTATGCAATCCAACCGCGAGTCAGCCAGGCGATCCCGCCTTCGAAAGCAGAAACATCTGGACGATCTAGCAGTTCAGGTGAACGAGCTTAAGGCTCAAAACAACAAGATCTTGTCTACCACGACCGGTACCACGCAGCTTTACCTAGACGTCGAGGCAGAGAATTCTGTCCTCAGGGCTCAGCTAGCTGAGCTCAGTAATCGCCTTCAGTCACTTAATGATATTATCAACTGCATCAGCGTCAGCAGCAACAACATTAATAATAATAACGTTATCTTGAGGACTACTACAAGCAGTGAATGTGATGATCAAGAGAGCTTTGGTAGCTTTGATCTTGATTTCGATGATGGTTTTTCGATGAATTCGTGGGGGTTTTCATTTGCCAATTATCCTACCGTGCCTACCCAGGACATATTCATGTGTTGATCGGTGTTATTAATTAAAGGTACCTACTTTAAATGGGTTCGTGTATAAAATTAATGTTAACAACCCCGGCATAAATCCCGCAATTGATAATTAAGATTTTACTTGGTATGTGTTATTAATAAGGGAGAAAGTATGTGCTTTTGATATGTTGTCAAAGTGTAATGTCAACGCACATTGGAATCAAATTACATGTTAAAACATCATTAGAATGCAGGTATTGTTGTATTGTAGTCATTATTGTGTGTAATGCGTCATATGATGCAGATACTTTAATTTGGACTTTTTCAATTAAATTTTGCGTACATGATTTAAGGGTCTTCTTATCGTGACCTTTCCAAATACTTATTTTTATCAAATTTTGATTGGCTGTGAAATTATTGACCATTTAAATAATGGTGGCTTTTTTGGCTCCTCTTAATCATTGGTTTGAGGAATCAATGCTAATCATGCAACCCACAAATGCCACATTAATAAACCTATATATAAAAATAGAGGAAAAGGTAAGAGAATTTCCACCCTTTAAGATATTTAAGAGTATTAAAGTGATTTAAACCTTACTAATTAATTAATCACCACTTTTAAATAATTGTAATTGGAGTAATTACCGTGCTATGACGCAGTTGAATTGGACAGCTACCACATTCATGTTAGTATATTAGTCACCATCCTCATTGTCCACCTTCATGAAAAGTTAACACAAACCTAACATGCATGATTACAATTCTCCAATATTATATAAGTGCTTTTCAAACCTAAAAAGTAGAAATTGTTAGTTTGGTGTTGCAAATTACGAGTATTTTATTAAACCTTGTTTTTGCCTGGCCTTAAGTATATAAACTTACTTTAGGAGAAATTAAATTTAAATAAGAACACTATTATATAACTTGAAATTATAATAAGTTTACATAACATTTACTATTTAATCATTTCAAAAGTATACAACAATCCAGACCGTTGAACTTAAATGGTCCCTATATGTCAAATGTCATTATTTGTGCACATTTAATTTATACAAGTAATATGCAAAGAAAATAAGTACTCTGTATGTCATATACCCATTTTACAAAATATATATGCATAACACTATTTGTGCAAACCAACAAATAGTCTTAGACAAATCTTAAGAAAATAAACTCCTTAAAGATAAGGTTGCAATAATTATCGAGCAAGTATATCCAAGGGTGGATTGTGGATAAATCATGAGAAATTGAAAATAGATAATAATAAAACAATTTCTATTATACAATTTTGTTTTATCATGGACATTTTGTATACAATGGATTTTTTAATATTTGCTCGAATTCACTATCAATCATTGTAACATAAAAAGGACTATTAATTGAGAAAATATTAATGTAGGAATGCATAATTAAACTATGATTATTTTTTGTATACAAAAAGCCATAAGGACAGTGACGGATCTATTAAGGGGCTTGGGTGACACCGGCCCTGCCAAAAATTAATTTTTTAATTTTTTATTTAGGTAAAGGTGTAAATTTATCGGTTAAATACAATTTTAATGCAATAAATAAAATCAAATTAGCTTTGTCATAATGGTAATACATTGAGTTTGTGCTAAAAGTCTTAGATTCAACTCCTCATGCAAGCATTTTATTTTTAATTTTTATTCAGTGCCCCTCCACACTAAATATTATACATCCGTCACTATATAAGGACAAATAATATAAACAAAATTTAATCTCATGTATTGAGTACCACGTACTCCTCAAGATTTTAACCAAGCTAATCGATCATTCTCCCATAACTATGTGTCAATACCCAAACTATGTTACTGATTTTAGTTATGTTTTTTTTTTTTTTGACAGGTTATGCTTGATTTTTAGCTCCTTGTATATTTACAATTCTTAAGAACGTATATATCTTTTTTTTTTTTTTAATCTAACAATATCCAAAATTAATGTCATTATTAAGGTTGTAATAATAAGCTTGTAATAAGTTGTAACCCTTTTGTGAGTGGTTGGCCACACCCACGAGTAATCCATGATCAAGTAACTCCTGACTAACCGAGTAACCCTTTTCTTCATCTTCTTCTTCTTCGATGGATCTCCTTCGAAGCTACTCCAATGACGCCGAAGCTAGAAGATGACGACAACAAACAACCCCAACTCCAACCCCACCAAACCAACCTAGAAACCCAACAAAATGACAAAGAAGACGAAGAAGAAACCTCATTCATCTCTCTCCCATAAAAATCCGCAACCCCAAAATTAGACAACACTGCACTCTCTCTCCTCTCCATCTCTTCCGTCGTCTCCTTCTTCGTCGCAAAACCCTTAGACCCAACTCAACATTTGGTCTCCAACCCCACCGTAATAAGAGCGATTTGCGGCTTAATAGCAACCTCGCCTTTAGGATTATTATGGAAAGTGAATTTCAATGTCGCCAATCCATTGAAAACCCTCAATCATTGCGACGAAGACGGCGGCGGAGGTGGTGGAGGTTGGGTTGGAAGGAGGAAGGGCTACTAAAGAGGATGAGGGAGTCTTGAGGACTAAGGGTGTGGAGGTGATTAATGTGGTCAGCCACATATAAAAGTTAGTGTAAATGATACTTGCACTCGGAAAAAAAAAAATAAAAAAAAAATTGATACTTTGACCAACTATATACGAGTTGAATTAACTTAATAAACATAATTATACTTAATAAAAATATCCTCAAATTTATTTCAAATAAAGTTGAATGAAATGTATGAACACAAGTATTGGACAATTGCTAGCGTCACAACACTGTACCAGTAGTACATATAACAAACATTAATAGCAACATATACCCAATAGCCAGGGGCTTAGGTGTGTGAGGTGCCAAATTGTTTGGTCTTATTCTTGATGAGGTGTGGGAAAAAGCCGCATTATGAGCTACTTAAACTATAAATATTCATTGATATGAGATCAGTCGTTGATTATATGTACCTTCATTAATTGGATGTCTAAGAATATCAATCAATTAATTAGAATTATATATCCTAAGCATCTTTAATTGGATAACTAATTAACTAGAGACTAAGAATTGAACATCAATTATTGTTTATTTTAAGTTTGTAAGTATGTATAGAGATCAACAATACATCGTTAAATAGTCTCAAAATAAACTAGTGTGAAATTGAAATTGTAAGATAATTTTAAGATTTATAACAGAGTAATCTTTATTCCTTTTTAAAGGATAACTCTATATTTCGGTATTTTCTAATTATGCAATACTAATCGTCCTAAAATAAGCAATAATATAGTCCTAAAATATGAATGTTGATCTTAGTAAGTGTTTCGGGTGAAAACAATGGGACCTTGTCGAAGGTCCGATGAAGTGGAGAAGACTGGATTTGGTCCAAGTGATGTTGGGCCGAAGGTTTCCTGCACAGCAAACACACGTAAACTAGCCTCGGGGGTGTTGCCGAGGGAGGTCCCTCCGATGCTAAAGTCAGTACAGTGTGTAGAAAGAGAATGCTATGCTAGAGAATTAATTGCTTGAGGCTTTGTTTGAATGAATGTACAAATGTAATATTGATGGCTTTTATACCTTTGCATATATGGAGAAGTTGGGCCTTAGCCCAATTGACTTGCCTTGTGGACTGATCTTGACTTTAGCACAATTGGAGAGGTGAACCTTGACCTTGGGCTTTTAATTGGATCATTTAATGACTAGGCCCAATTGGACTAAATTGGACCCAAACAACTTGCCCCCCAGACCCGATTTGGAAGGATGACGGGTCGGGTTTGATTAATTAGAAAAGGAGGGAAGTGAATGATTTAATTAATCCAAGAAATTTGAATTTAAACCGTAATTAATGAGATAACAACGGTTAGGCGAATAATTGTGGAAGTTGGACGGATAATGGGCGGTTTAATCGCGAGGTCGTGTGTTTAACGGTTACTTGGTGGGGTGTTTAAGAGAAATTGAAGCGCGGACTCCCAGAATTCCCATTTCTGGAGATATAATTAGAGGCGCGTCATCTCTCCTCACTTATTCACCAACACAAACCCAGAATCCTCGAGAAAGCCCAAGAACCCGCGTCAAAACTTCGCAAATTCCCCGAGCATTAAGCTTAGAAACTGAGACTCGTCACTACCAATTCGTAAATCGGCAACTTTCGCTTCAGATTAAGGTAAATTCCTTTGATTTTAGTTTATTTTTCTTCAAATTTGAACTCCTTCCCCTTTTTTCGACTTTTTTCTTCGAAACTCATCCATGGTGAGAGGAGTTAGAGGTAGAGCCCGTGCTCCAAGAAGAGCAAGGCCAATTCCCGATCCTAGGAACAGGATTGAGACCTGGAATGGACAGAGAGTAGAGCCTGACCCTGCTGAAGGGATTAGGGCGACTCCCATTTCTTTGGCTCCTCCTCAGGGAACGGAAGGGCCGAGCGTTTCTGGGCGGGACGATGAAGTTCCCGCTATCCTTTGGGACATCCTTCCTGGGTTTTCGGAGTGGGAGGATGCTGAAGTAGCTTCGGCCATGATAAAGAACCGCCCCTACTCGTGGTGGGTAGAGAATGCTGAACAGTATCGGTTTGCCGAGCAGATTGAGTTGCATTACGGCATCCTTGAAGCTGATGGGTATTGGTGCCGAATGCCCGTGGCATCCGATAGAATCCATCGTCCACCCCCGGGGTATGTGGGGGTGTACACAAGACAACTTCAGTATGGGCTGAGGTTCCCTTTGGACGTATTCGTCCGAGACTTGCTGATCCATTATAATATTTCCCTATGTCAGCTAACTCCCATTAGCATCCGAAGGGTGATGACATACTTATGGGTTTGCAAGTTCTTCAGGTATGTGCCGAACCTGCACTGCTTCAAAAAGCTCCATCGGCTAGTGCCAAATATTCAAAGTGGGCACGGAAGTCACGGTTCTGGGTGGTACCGGATTGAGTCTCGGCCCCAGTACCTAACCATGTGGCCGAACGACTCTTCAGACAAGGACTGGAGAGGTCAATGGATTTGGGTTAGGGCGCCCACGGACCCGGGCCACCCTTGCGTCTTCAGCGCTCCCAGGTATCTTGCTGAGCCTGATCCCGACATGGGAAGTTTAGGTCCCCCCGAAGATAACGACCCAGATCCGAACCTTAATCAACAGAACATTTTCGGCAAGCTGCCGAACCGGGGAGGCAGCGGTCGAATGCAGCATATCCCGGAGACTTGGCTCCCCGATACGCATTATGTCTTCCAAGAGAACATGTTAGCAGCTGTCGGCCTCAGCCGAAAGTTTAGGGATGGTAAGCTTCTTCGGCTGGGGCCGAGGCCTTTTAATTATCTCTTTTCCTCCGTTTTCACTTCGCACTTTTCTGCTTTGCCAACCTA